GCCAGCCGAGCAAATGGCAGAAAAAGGGGTGCATGCGTGCACGCGCACACACGCACACACCCCCAGAGGGAAGGGAGAGGCCAGGAGGAACCGGCCCCCATTCTTACCAGGCTGCAATGGGGCTGGGATAGAAGGGACACAACACAAAGCAGCGACGGGCAGCAAGACAAACAACAACAACAACAACAACAGAAAGTTAACCCCTGGGGCCACGGAGGCCGGCGCTGAGGCCATCATCGATCCATCGGGCCTCTGGACTCATCCCAACGCCTCGGGTTCAAAGCCACTGGCCCCCCGCCCTCTCGGAGGAGCCCCCTCCTTAAAGCCCCAACTAGCCAGGCTGGCTAGATGGCCGGCCGGCCCTTCCCTTCCCTTCGCTGCTCCCTGGGTTTTCTACCCCGACTTCCGCCTGCACCCCTCCCTCCAGCAGCAGCTGAAGGTTCATGGGGTGAAGCACATGGGGGGGTGAGAGAGAGCCCCCTCTCCAGAGTCCGAAAGAGGGGGGGGGCGAAGGGCTTTTCCGAAAAAGGCACAACGCCGAAGGATCATCATAGGATGCCCCGCGATCAACACGCACGAAATAATGTTGGAAAGGAGATTTTGTGTGCTTCCCTGGAAGCAGCCGGAGCAGGAAAGGGTGCAAAGGCCGAAGGCCCCGACTTAACAGAGTCTGGGAGCACCTCGATAATCATCACTACAGGGCAGTACAGAAATCTGACACACCAATAAGTACACAATCCATCAGTCATGACGCTGACGGTCCCTTAGATCAGCGGTTCTAATCCTGGGGGCCCAGGCGCTCTTGGATGACAGAGTCCTTGACTGCTGGTGGGAGGGGAGACGCCCCCACACGCACACTTGGTTTCTTGGGGAGACCTCCACAAGCCAAGGGCATGCATGCACACAGGGAGGGAGGGGGGTCTCCTCCAGGCAGCCACGTCCACCACGAAGCGGATTCATGGGACTTGCCCTACACCCAGGGACGTTCCCCCCCCCGCTCTTACCTGGGCAGGTACGCATGCTTTTTACTGGCCGGTCTGTTGCAAAGAAGGGAAGAGACAGAAATGGACGCCCAAGACCCGGCCGGCGCCCGAGGGGCAGCGTGGAGGGAAAACGGAGAGAGAAAGGAGACAGAACATGTGTGAAAGGGGGCAGCCACGGCACACGGGGGGCCGGGGGGGCGGCAGCCTCTCTGGGGCCTCCTCAGAGGGCCTCTCGGGCCACGTTTAAGACCGACTGCTTGTGGGAAGGGGACGCCCAGTCCACACCCGTCTCCTCATCAGCTCTTTTCCTCTCTGGGGTGCACCAGACACACATGCCTACGGACTTGGGAGCTCTCGCCTAGCCCCCCCCGAAAAGCAGCTCTGAAGCACAGACTGAAACGCCCCCCCCCGACTCTTCCTGGCACCTCCGGGCATCTCCCGACCAGGCCTGAACGGCTCCGTTCCCTGCAATGCAGAGGCTTGGAAAAGACACGGGGAGGCGGAAGGGGGGGGGACGGCGAAGGCCAAAGAAGCGCCACGCCTGCCCCCCCCGGCTCCTCTTGCCCTCCCCACCCAGGATGTGCGGAGTGATTCTGGCTGGGGACAATGGGCACTACTGGTCGCCCACAGAGTCAAGACAACTCTCCCTGACCGGTTGTGCACCTCGGGCAAAGCGGGGACTTGCTGGCCCTGATCATCATCCTCATCTGCTGCAGCAGCAGCAACAGGAGAAGCCCCAGCTTGTTTCCCCAAAGCCCCCCCCCCCCGGAGAGATGAAGCTTCAAC